ATAGAATAGAATAGAATAGAATAGAATAGAATAGAATAGACTTCTTTCTTGGCCAAGTGTGATTGGACACACCAGGAATTTGTCTTGGTGCAAATGCTCTCAGTGTGCATAAAAGAATAGAGACATTTGTCAAAAGTCAAGAATCATCAGGTGCAACACTTAGTAATAGTCATAGGGCAAATTAAAGAGCAAAGGAAGGAGACAACCCCCCCCCATCCCCTGAGTCATGGAGAGGGCTCTCAAGAGAACCCTTCAACCCAGGAGGGGACCTTCTTTCAGGGTTTCTTTTGTCCAGCTTTCCAAGGGGAAGATGGACAAGGCTTCCTCAACAGGAGACCTGATGGTATCCCTCAACTATTTGATGGGATCCCTTGGGGCAGAATTAGGCCAAGGAGAAACGGTAGGGGTGGAAGAAAGGAAAAACATATCCCTCCCCCCCCTCGCACCAAGAGTTATTGATGAAACTGGAAACGGAGGGTAGGGGGAGGCAAAGCCATGGGGGAAGGGAGATGAGCCAGGCTCCTTCCTCACACAAAAGAGTTTCCATGGCACAAGAGTGTGTGACGATGAGGAGAAGGGGAAGAGCTGCATAAGTGGAGGGCCAGTTGAGTCTGAAAATTCCCATCCCAACGGGGCCATCTGGAGAAGGGGAGGGGAACGGGGGTGATGGAGAGCAGAAAACCACTGGCTCTCAGCAGGTTGAAACCTCTTCCTCTCTCATTTTCCCTCCCCCCCAAAATATTTTGGAGGGGTAGTGGGAAGGCAGAAGGGGACAACTCAAGGAAGAATCCTGAAGAGCAGCCCAAAGAATCGTAGGTCCGGTGGGAAGGGGAGAAAGGGGTCCAGGGAGAGAGAAGGTGGGGTGAAAAGGGCAGAGTTCCCTTCCTCTTGAAGAGGCCCCCAAAAGGAACGGAAGTCTGGAGCGGGAGAGGGAGCCTTGGGGGTTGTGTCACGGGCGTTGCTGCATTGCCTCCAGATTGTTGGGTGCTGTTTGACTGATGTGCCTTGTTTTCTGTCTTCCCTCGTCCCCCTCAAGGCTGGACTCTTGGCACAGAAGGTGGGCTCATCAAGGCTCCATAAAGATGCAGAAGGGAGTTTGGCTGCTGAGCGTGTTCACAGTAGCTGGGATCGCGCCGACCACTGAGAGCCGGAAACCTGCCAAAGACATTTGCAGCAAGAGCCGTTGCCCTTGTGAGGAGAAGGAGAACGTGCTGAATATTAATTGCGAAAACAAGGGATTTACCACGGTCGGCCTCCTCCTGCCTCCCCCGTCCAAGATATACCAACTCTTTCTCAATGGGAATGCGTTTGCCCGACTCTACCCCAACGAATTTGTCAACTACTCCAATGCCGTGACGCTCCACTTGGGTTACAACGACATGGAAGAGATTCGAACTGGGGCCTTCCTGGGCCTTCGGATTCTTAAGAGGTTGCACCTCAACAACAACAAGCTGGAGATCTTACGGGAGGAGACCTTCCTAGGCTTAGAGAGCCTGGAGTATCTCCAGGCTGACTACAACTACATCACCGCCATTGAGGCAGGGGCTTTCAGCAAACTCAACAAGCTGAAGGTGTTGATCCTCAACGACAACCTGTTGTTATCCCTCCCTAGCAACGTGTTTCGTTTTGTCCTCCTGACCCACCTGGACCTTAGAGGGAACCGGCTAAAAATGATGCCTTTTGCTGGCGTCTTGGAGCACATCGGAGGAATTATGGAAATCCAGCTGGAGGAGAACCCATGGAACTGTACTTGTGATCTTCTGCCTCTCAAAGCTTGGCTAGACACCATCACAGTCTTTGTTGGGGAGATTGTGTGCGAGACCCCTTTCAGGTTGCATGGCAAAGATGTCACCCAACTGACCAGGCAGGATCTCTGCCCTCGAAAAACTGTGGGTGATTCCAACCCAAGGGAGAAATACCCTTCCCACTCAGACACACACATCCAGAGACTCCCCCCAACAGTTAACTCTGCGGTTGGGGCCACCAGGGCTCCCAAAGCCAGCCGCCCACCCAAAACCAGGAACCGTCCCACCCCACGGGTCACCGTGTCTAAAGACAGGCAGATTTTTGGGCCCATCATGGTTTATCAAACCAAATCTCCCGTGCCCCTAACTTGCCCAAATCTTTGTGCTTGCACTTCACAAAGTTCTGACAATGGGTTGAACATCAACTGCCAGGAGAAAAGAATTGGCAACATCTCCGATCTCCACCCCAAACCCACCAGTCCAAAGAAACTCTATTTGACAAGCAACTACTTGCAAACAATCTATAAAAGTGATCTTGTGGACTATCCGTCACTGGACTTATTGCATTTGGGAAACAATAGGATTGCTGTGATCCAAGAAGGTGCCTTTTCTAATCTCACCAGTTTACGCCGGCTTTATCTCAATGGTAACTACCTTGAGGTCTTGTATCCTTCCATGTTTGAAGGGCTCCACAGCTTACAGTATCTCTATTTAGAGTATAATGTGATTAAAGAGATCCTGCCACGCACCTTTGATGTGTTGGGCAATCTTCACCTCCTCTTTTTGAACAACAATCTCTTGAGGTCCCTGCCGGACAATGTCTTTGGAGGCACCACTTTAACTAGACTCAACCTGAGGAACAACCATTTCTCGTATCTTCCCGTGCAAGGTGTCCTTGACCAGCTTTCAGCCCTAATTCAAATCGACCTACAAGAAAACCCTTGGGACTGTACTTGTGATATCATGGGGTTGAGATACTGGATAGAACAAGTCACCGAGAAAAACAACCAGCAGTCGGGAAGTCCCGTGGTAGTCAACGAAGTGATCTGTGACTCTCCCGCCAAGCACGCTGGAGAACATCTCAAGACCTTGAGCAAAGAAGCCATCTGCCCCGAGAATCTCTTCGATTCTTCTCTCTTGTCCCTCAATCTGAACACCGATACGCCATCAGCCTTCAGCATCTTCCCCAGCGCCTTTCCGGAAATGCGGATGGAAGTCCCCCTCTCCGTCTTAATTTTGGGCCTTCTGGTGGTCTTTATTTTGTCGGTCTGCTTTGGGGCTGGGCTCTTTGTCTTTGTTCTCAAACGCCGTAAGGGGTTGCCAAGCCTGCCCAGCAGTACCAACAACCTGGACGTCAGTTCCTTCCAACTGCAGTATGGCTGCTACAACAGCGAGGCCCACGAGAAAGCGGAAGGCCATGTCTATAATTACATCCCTCCTCCCGTTGGCGAGATGTGCCAGAATCCTATCTATATGCAGAAGGAAGGGGACCCCGTTGCTTACTACCGGAATCTCCATGAATTTAGCTACAGCAATCTGGAGCCGAAGAAGGACGAGTCTACCAGCTTCGCCTTTACCATCAGCGCGGCAGACATGCTGGAGAAGCAACCCTTTTCGAGAGAGCCGGAACTGTTGTATCAAAACCTGGTGGAGAGGGTGAAGGAACTGCCCAGCGGAAGCATGGTCCAATATAATTTCTGTACCCTCCCCAAAAGGCAGTTCGCTCCTTCCTACGAGTCCAGGCGACAAAACCAAGACAGGCTCAATAAAACAGTTTTGTACGGGACGCCGAGGAAGTATTTTACGGAACTGTCCAAACCCGATCTCCCTTTGCTGCAAGGGAAGTTGCAGGCGGAACCGGATTACCTCGAAGTGTTGGAAAAACAAACTGCCATTAGTCAGCTGTGAAATGGGGAGTGGGGGTGGGGGAAAGGCCTGGGGGAGGGGAGGGTTGCATTGGATGGGTGGGGAAATTCTTGCAAAAGAGCAAGCCAGACCTGAACTGGAGACATCCAATGAAATTGGTCCCAGAATAAGAATAATATTTTTTTTTTTTGGTTTTTTTTTTTTTTTCCAATTTTCATTTTTCAATGAAAAAAAACATCACCATCAACATCAATGAAGACATTTTTCGGACCAGGCCAGGTTTTGGGATGGGTGTCTTCTACTAAAATCCCTTTAAGTTATTATAATTATGACTGTTGTTATGATTTTGCAGATCTTCCTTCTTTCCCCCAACCCCCCGCCCCCCTGTTTGGCCTTTTTAAAGAACTGAATGAATGTTTCTTCTTTGGAACATTTGCATTGGGTGATTTCTGGGGAAAAGATGAAGAGACGATAAGAAAAGTTTCTCTCGACACCCCCTGGCCCCATCAAGAGAATTGAGATGGCAAAAAATAATGTCTGAAATATATTCTGTCCTTCCTTTACTAGATTAGGAAGTATCTTTCCCTTTCCCTCCCTCCCTTTTTTTATTTTATTTTATTTTGTAAATAAAAATATTGGCAGTACTTCTTTTTCAATGGTCAAGTCACAAGCACTGGGTATCACATCTCTACATGTGCTTTAAAAGTGTCCTTGCACTTTAAATACAATATCACGTCACGATCTGAAGGTAATTGTATTTTATTCATTTCATTAGGGAGGTGCGTTAAACCAGATCTCAGCCCTGCTCTGTGACAAGGGGTGATTGTTTAATTGAGAAGCAAAATCCCATGCAAGGCAGTTTATTTCTGAAGGGTTTTTTTAATGGACTGAACTGTAAAAAATTTCTTTATCCCCCTTTTTAAAATATCTGGCCTGATTTTACATACATTTCCCAAAAAACAACTTAAGAATTTAGCAGTAGATTGGGGTATCCAGCTCTCTCACTTGGGAGTGATAGTTCTTTAAAAAAGAAAAAGAAAAAAAAATTAACACAAAATCAACGCCACCTGATCCACAGGCCTCCCATGTTTGTTACCCTGCAGCTCTTAACACCGTTATAATGTTCAATGTTTTTCAGATCATTTGCCTAATTAAGAGAACATTACTTTATTTGTAATATATATTTTTCCTGCATTAAAATTAGATATTTTTATACATTTAAAGCCGAGCGTTTCCATTTCAAGTGTTTGGGGAATATATATGTGTGTGTGTGTGTTTGTGTGTGTACACATACATATATGTACATGTGTGCATATACACATATATACCCATAAATATACACCAACACACATATGTATATCTCATAGCTCAAGATATGTATATCACATATGTATATGTGTGTGTGTATGTATGTGTATATATACATATATATATGTATGTGTATATACACACACACACACACACACACACACACACAT